AAAAAAATACAATCCAAAAATGAGGAACAGGGGAAATAAAACGCGTGACAATTGACTTGATAATAGGGTAAACGTAAAAAGGAAAATGGAAAGTCCGCCAGAGTGAATATGATGAAACACGAAACGATGAACCAGTTTAAATGAATACTTTTTTTGAAACATGAAAATAAAAATCAGCATTACCTCACATTAACGAGTTAAATATCTCTGCAAATATACGCCAATGTAATTAAACAGATAAGGCAGGAATGTATATCTGGGGAAGAATGACATGGAACAAAATGTAAAATGTTTAAAAATATCTAGCAAATAACTAGCCTTAAAAACGAAAATAAATCACCTGATGCTGCAACTGCTGAACATGAGTAAAAGCTGCAGAACTCGCAGCTTGGTATTGGGATTGTTGCGATTGCTGTAATTGAACTTGGCCTGCTTGACTATACTGCTGTTGAGCAGAATATTGGGGAGTCTGAATGCCATTATACTGCATCATGAGCTGTTGAGGACTGGATTGGATATTAGAGCCCCCCTGTAGGGCATTAAATTGCATCAGTACAGCCTGATTGGTTTGGCTTTTGTTTGCAAACTGCACAGCGACATTACTTGCCAGACCAGCTTGAAGGTTAGCATTCAGCTGGCTAACTTGTAACGCACCATTTTTAACAGTCCCTGCAACTCCAACCTGGCCAAAATTGTTGACGACGTTATATGAAGGTCTAGGCCTAGGAGGTGGATTTGGCTTTCGTATAAGAGGCGGAAGGGTCCTTTCCTCTGGGGGCTTGTCTGCATACTCAACAGCTTCCGAAATAACGCCAGCGATGACCTCTTCTAGGTGTGTAAGCGCAACATCATTCGATGTGGGCGCTTGCTGTCGAGAGTCGCTTTCTGGGAAAGTAAAGATTAAGGAAAATCCAATATTGGGATGTGTGCGTAGAAAGTTATCACAAGCAAGCAGATAGCATCAATTATAAGAAAATAGACATTAATATGAGGTTTTACCTTGCATAATATCTTCAAGTCCTTCTGCAGACGCAACTGTCATTGGGGAGGAGCATAAGAAGCACCGTATAGGCGTCGAACCGGTGCAAATTTAATCGGCGAAGGACAAGTTAAACAAACACGCATAAATTAAAACAAAGTCTCAATGAGCTAGAAATATCTTTATATTCTTAAAACTTTAGGATTAAGAATGATAAAAATAATTAATAAAACATATTTTTATTGCATTCTGTAATGTTTTTGATTTTTTTAATAACAAGCAAATTTACCATTGTTTGCTGGTTTCCAAGGTAAGTATTTTTTCACAGCATTGCGAAAACTTCCCTTACTTTCATTTGAGTGATCTTGTTTCTGTTTCCTTTAAGTCTGAATTAAATGTTGCAAAATCCGCTTTATCGACTTAAAATTTTTACGCGATTGGATTAACCTCGTTACTCAAGTGTCTCAATATTCAGTAAAAGTGTTTGGAATATCCTTAGGTTACCTAATCTTACCAAACCTATTATGTCAAGTACACAGTTATATCGATAATGGTCGATGAAATGTACAACTTTGGGTCTCTTCTAGCTATGAAATAACTTTTTCAAATTTATGCTAATAAATTCTAAATATACCTCACGCTAATATTTGCATTTATAAGTGTACGCTATATCTTTGCCATCTAAAAGATAATTTTATTTAAAATTAC